CACAAGCACATCATTGCCGGTTGCTTGCTTGAACAATCGTTTGAAACACGGCTCTACGGACATGTGCCCTGGAACACGCCCGCATATGTCGCGCGACAGATCATCGTACGCTTTGTAGAGCGAGAGCGAATTCTTCCAGTAGAACTGCACCTGGGGCCCCGCGGCGCAAGAATCGGTCCCCAACTGCTCATGGCATGCCCTCTTCTCCGCCTTGTTGTCCACCAGCTCATCATGCCTCCCGGATAGCCACGCCCCCAGCGCCACGGCCAGAGGGAAGAGCAAGAACGCACACGTGCACACGTCCGGGGGGTCCGCGCGGACGTCCTGGATCGGCGCTGGACCCCCCCTCCCCCTGGCGCGCGGAGCGCGCGCGGGGGGCGGAGGCGCCGCCAGGGGGGCTCGAGCGCCGCTCCGAGAAGCCCGCGCGGAGGCCCCGAGAGAAACTTCTTTGAAACAAAAAACCGAATATGTTCCTTGTTGCGTGCGCCCGCGCCGCAGGCTCTCCCCTCGACCTGGCGTAGTGCCTCGTCACGGAGTTGCCCACGAAGTAGAACCTGCGGCCCCCGAAGCGCGCCGCGGCGAGCTCGGCCCCCACGCCCGAGGCTGGGCAAGTGCCGGGAGCGGGCCGCCAGCGGCCGCCGGCCCAGGCACCCGACAGCTCACCGTAGTTGCAGCGCGCCCCCGCGCCCGTAAAGTGCAGGGGGTTCAGGCGTCCTCCGCTGGCTGCGCAGTCGCAGCTCGTGCCGCACCGGACACAGAGCTGGGGCGCACCCTCTGTCGACACCCGGGGTTGCCGGATGCCTTCCGGCAGCTCGGTCCGCTGAGCCCTGGCTCTGGCTTCAAACAAGATGGAGCCCTCTGCGAAGAGCACCCAGGCAGTTCCCGTGAGCAGGCAGACGTAGATCTTGGCTGCCCATCGACGGCATGGGTCGAGCCAAGCGCGGAGGTGAAGTGCCAGCGACGCTGCAGAGGACTTGAGGTGCATATTCCCTCATCTGTGGCCGGTGATAGCGCCGACTGCTTCGCGGCAAACAGCTGATGCCGACTGGCCGACCGACTGTTTGTAATTGAATGCGGCCGAAATAACTTCTATGTGGCTTGAGCCTTGGAGCAACATGTCTGCGAATGAGAAGGATGTGTTTGTCGCGACTGCTCATTTGGCAAAACCTGGAATGATGCCAGCTAGTGGGCTTACCGTGGCTCCATTCTGCTCTCCACTCTCTCATATCTCATTCAATGCGTGTGTATGTGTATATATACACACTATATCTCTCGGTTTCTCTATCTGTACCCTCTCTCTCTCTCTCTCTTTATCGAATCTCTCCTCGTAGCTGCCTATCCTTACACATATGCCCACTGCTCTCGTTTCTCTGCGCCCCACTCTCTAAGGTGGAAATATGTTCTCTCTACTCTCCATCTCCATTATGAATGCTCTGCTCTCTGCTTGCTTTTCTCGTATCTCCGCTATCTGCCCTCTGCTCTCAGCTCTCTAGACGCTACCCTGCCTTTAGTTTCTACCCTCCACTGTGGGTGGGATCTGTCTGGGTGGAACCCAGTGCGCGGAACCCCGCGGCGGGAACTCATGAGTGGAACCCCATGAGCAGACCCGCGTGGACGGCACCCCACGATGGAACCCTCTGGGTGGAACTCTACGTACGGGTGGAACGCTGTGCGTGGAGAGTCGACTGTGCGAAGTCCAGCAGCGGCAATCGTTGGACCCTCCAGAACCGCCCACATGCAGTCGACGAGGCTCAGACAAGCATCTGCCAGACTCAGCTCTCCGCGGGCAGCAGGTCAGTGCCAGACAGAGCAGTTGTCTCCAAGCGCCATTACTGCCTGGGGAACCAAGCAGCTGCTCAGTACACAGTACGTGCCAGCTGGAAAGGTAGCACTGTCATGCGCAGTTTATCCTACACGCTGCTGGTTCGACTCCCTTTTGCACGTCCGCTTCCCTAACGAAGTGAAAAGCGCTGGATCTCATCCTCTTCCTCCTCCGTTTGCTCCACCTAACTCCTCCTCGTCATGGTCCCCCTCCTCCTCCTTCCGTCCTCGTTCTCCTAATCCTCATCACCCGCACCCTCCTCCCGTCCTTCCTCTTCCTGCTCTTGCCCACCGCTGGCGATCTGGTCGTCCGACCACTCATCGTCGGAGATCCGTATATCCCTCGTAGCAACCTTTTAAAAGGGAACGTGAGGGGGGGACCAGTCTAGCGCGGGAAACGTCGAGCTGGAATCGGCGGTACATCGCCCATAGATCGGCGTACCTGGGCACTTTCGGGCTTCCCCCCCCTGCAGGATCAGCCAGCATCGGCAACTCGGATCGAATCTGTATCGCATCGGGCTGCATCGGCACATGATCGGGAGCGAACCGCGTCGGCGGCGTGAAGATGCAAAACAACGCCATGCTAACATCTAGACACATCGGATCGCCACGAATAATTATGTGAGTCGGATCGTCTCGGGCCGGCCAGAGCCAACGCCGAATCGGATCGATCGGATCGAAATGGGCCCTACCTCTAGGGACGAGGACGGCGACGAGGAGGAGGAGGAGAAGGAGCAGGAGGAGGAGGAGGAGCGAGACGAGGAGGAGGAGGAGAAGGAGGAGGAGGAGGAGGAGGAGGAAGGGGAGGAGGAGGAGGAGGAGGAGGAGGAGGAGGAGGATGAGGAGGAGGAGAAGAAGGTGGACGAGGAGGTGGAGGAGGAGAAGGATGAGGAGGAGGAGGCGAAAGATGAGGAGGAGGAGGAGGAGAAAGAGGAGGAGAAGGAAGAGGAGGAGGAGGAGGAGGAGGAGGGGGAGGAGGAGATGCGATGAGGTGAGATGAGCCGAGTCGCGAAGCGACTCTATATAAATTACTGACCACGAGCCGCCTTCCCAGCCTTGCCGAGAACCTTGGGCCATGGTCCACGAGAAATGCGGTCGAGGTAATGTCTCCGCGTCTTGGTGAGAGGTCTAGGTGGATCATCCTTGGCACTGTACAGCAGATTCCCGCCAGGCCGCGGAGCCGGAGCGGGCTGCAGCACCCGCACGATCCACAACACCAGAGAGACAGACCTTCATGGCAAACCATGTTGTGGGATTTGTGGGCCTCCCCCCCAGCAAGGTACAGAGTCCGACCCCGAGGCGTCGAACAAATAAAACACACCCCCAAAACATTAGCACACAAAAAACAAACATACTAGACAAATCGTCCCCATACCATTGTTTTACAGTGTTTAAACAATTCCTCCTGTAGAGGGACACGCCCGACTGAAAGGCAGCGGCATGGGTATACCGCTGCCTCCTCCGAAGACCTGCCTCCTCCCCACCTCAGCGGCACCGTAAAAAGGTTTTCGTTATAACGGGTGTTTTGGACAATTGCCGAATGTTGCCGCTTTATGCCTGCTTCTGGCATTCCAGCGTTGCCCACATCGGGCCGGGCGAATGGGGGTGATAGCTAAAAGGGGGTTTGAGAATCAACTCGCGTAGCTGATTTCCCCGGCGCCTCCCGGCGCCGATGGGCGGCCATGCGATGCGACCTGCTTGGAACGCCGCGATGGGCGGCCATGTATCGAGGAATGGGCCCGGCGGCGGGGCCGAAACCGGCTGCATGCAGCAAATTTCGTAACCCCCGATTTCCCGATCCCCTCCTTTCGATCCGGCCCGACCACATCGGCGAAGGTGGGGTTCGCGGCGTCCCCGGCCAGAGTGCCCGTCAGTGGAGTTCCCGTGAGAGTCAGATCGGGCCTGTCCCCCTACAGGGGGGATTTTGGGCGAAACATTAAACGCACAACACAAATACCCCCAAAATGCTCAAACATGGTCTTACAATAGTCCCCGACTGTAGCCTAAAAGTGGCAAAATCATTGTCAAAACCAGCGAAATACAATACACTTTTTAGTCAGTGGCCGCGGGCGAGCGCGCCGGCGGCGAGTCCAGTCAAAGCGGGGCACGCAACGACGAATTAAACTGAAGCGACGGAGGGCGGCCACACCTACAGCGGCGAACCGGGACTTCACGCAGCAGCTCAGCGGCGGACCGGCGAGTGGGGGGGCAGCTGAAACTGAGTCGTACTGCCAGCGCGCAAGCATGCATAGCGTCGGAAGCACCAGGAAGTCGGAATACAATACACAAAGAGCAACACATTATCACAAGTTGTCAAGCAAGTTCGAAATGACTGTTTTTTGAATATCATCCCTGCAGAAAAACGAGCCCGACTTGACGCCAGAAGGGGGCGCCGACCCCCGGGGGGCGCTGACCGCACGCCGCGGCGGGTCGACGCACACCACCGCGCCCACGAGCTTGCCGCGGTGCTTGGGCGCCTCGCGGCGGCCCCCGTCGCCGTCGTCCGCGTCGTCGTCGTCGTCGTCGTCGTCGTCGTCGTCGTCGTCGTCGGCGTTGTCGTCGGCGTCGTCGTCGTCGTCGTCGGCGTCGGCGTCGTCGTCGTCGTCGTCTTCGTCGGCGTCGGCGTCGGCGCCGTCGTCGTCGGCGTCGTCGTCGTCGGAGGAGGAGGAGGAGAAGAGTGGCGCCAGGAACAGCGTCGGGAGCGGCGAACGCAGGCATGTTCGCGTCCCTCCATGCTCCCGGACATGCTCGCGTCGTGGTTCGATGTTTTGAAGCGTTTTCGTCAAAACTCGGCGGTATTCCGGCCACGGAATGCGTTCTGGCGGCTGCGTCTCGCCGGGGGCGTTTCGGGGGGGATCGTCCAGAACGGCCGCAGGAGAACCGAACTGTGACCCAACCTGCTCGCGCTGTGGGCAAATCATGAAGGCAAACTTTTGGCTGTTTTGGGGCATCTGGGGGCAATCGCCGGGCCCGAGGGATCGTCAAAGAATGCCCTGGGATGAAAAACTGATCCTGGGGATGAAAAGAAAAACCACATTTACATAAACGTTTGGCGCTCCGCGCGGAGCGCCCAAAGTGTATGTTTGTCTGGTTTCTTCTTCTTCTTCTTCTTCTTCTTCTGCTGGTGCCCGCATCTCGCACGAATCTGGTCGCGGGATGTCTGGGGAAGGCGCGCGCGCCGTTCCCCCCTGCTGGCCGCGCTCCCTCGCTCCAGCTGCGGCGGCCGGGCTGCGCGCGCACTGCTTATCCCGAGGGCCGCTCTCCTTCGCTTCGGCGGCGGCGGCTGGGCTGCGGCGGAGCATGCGCTGGCGACCGTCTCCTCGGCCGCGGCGCTGCTGAGCTGGCGGCCCCCCGGCAGGATGGCCTCGACGCGCCAGGCTCCATGGCCGAGCCTGCCCGCGCGGTGCTCGGCCGCGAGCTGGAGGTAGATGTCCCTGATTCTGCAGCGCTCCACCCCGCCGAAGGTCACGAAAACCATCGAGTCGCCATCGAGCGACGCCTGCAGGAGCAGCGCTGGAAGTAGGTGAGCTGTGTAGGTCAGGCCCGCGGGCAGCGCTGGGAGGTCGCACTGACCATCAACATTGCACCCGCAGGCCGCGGCGGCGCCGTCGCTCCTGAGCAGCACCGCGTGCTCCCCTCCAGCGGCGACCTGCGTGTAGGTCAGGCCCGCGGGCAGCGCTGGGAGGTCGCACTGACCATCACAATTCCAGCCGCAGGCCGCGGCGGTGCCGTCGCCCCTGAGCAGCACCGTGTGACTCCCTCCAGCAGCGACCTGCGTGTAGGTCAGGCCCGCGGGCAGCGCTGGGAGGTCGCACTGACCATCAACATTGCACCCGCAGGCCGCGGCGGCGCCGTCGCTCCTGAGCAGCACCGTGTGCTCCCCTCCAGCGGCGACCTGCGTGTAGGTCAGGCCCGCGGGCAGCGCTGGGAGGTCGCACTGACCAGCACCATTCCCGCCGCAGGCCGCGGCGGTGCCGTCGCCCCTGAGCAGCACCGTGTGACTCCCTCCAGCAGCGACCTGCGCGTAGGTCACGCCCGCGGGCAGCGCTGGGAGGTCGCACTGACCATCAACATTGCACCCGCAGGCCGCGGCGGCGCCGTCGCTCCTGAGCAGCACCGTGTGCTCCCCTCCAGCGGCGACCTGCGTGTAGGTCAGGCCCGCGGGCAGCGCTGGCAGGTCGCACCGACCATCAACATTGCACCCGCAGGCCGCGGCGGTGCCGTCGCTCCTGAGCAGCACCGTGTGACTCCGTCCAGCGGCGACCTGCGTGTAGGTCAGGCCCGCGGGCAGCGCTGGGAGGTCGCACCGACCATCAACATTGCACCCGCAGGCCGCGGCGGCGCCGTCGCTCCTGAGCAGCACCGTGTGCTCCTTTCCAGCGGCGACCTGCGTGTAGGTCAGGCCCGCGGGCAGCGCTGGCAGGTCGCACTGACTTTCTTCATTCCAGCCGCAGGCCGCGGCGGTGCCGTCGCTCCTGAGCAGCACCGTGTGCTCCTTTCCAGCGGCCAGCATCAGCAGAAGAGCCCGCCGGGGGCCGCCCGATCCCCAGGGCGAGGGGCGGGCGGGGGGGGGCTGGGCGGCCGAGGGTGGGCGGCCCGAGAGGCGGGCCTGCCTGGAGGGCCGGGTGGTCCTCCCTCCGCCCTCCTCCGTGTCTGGAGGGCCCGGGGCAACGATGCGGGGGCGACTCGGTCAGGGGGGAAACATCAACCTGCAATCGGCGATACATCGCCGATAGATCGGCCATAAGCCCGCGATGGCGAACCCGTACGCTCCTGTGCGGGCTGGGGCTATCAGACCCATGTCGGCCCATCGTTGCTCCTAACCCCCCGATCCACATCCACCTCCAGGAGCAGGCCCAGGGAGACAGACAGACACAAACACATGTCCCAGCATCCCCCAAAAGCATGTCATTTTCTGATTATTGTCCCTCCTCCTCCTCCTCCTCCTCCTCGTCCTCGTCCTCGTCCTCGTCCTCCTCCTCCTCCTCCTCCTCCTCCTCCTCCTCCTCCTCCTACTCCTCCTCTTCCTCTTCCTCCTCCGCCTCCTCCTCCTCCTTTTCCTCCTCCTCCTCCTCCTCCTCCTCCTCCTCCTCCTCCTCCTCCTCTCCTCCTCTTCTCCTCCCCCTCTTCTTCCTCCCCCTCCTCTTCCTCCTCCTCCTCCTCCTCCTCCTCCTCCTCCTCCTCCTCCTCTTCCTCCTCCTCGTCCTCTTCCTCCTCCTCGTCCTCTTCCTCCTCCTCGTCCTCGTCGTCGTCGTCCTCGTCGTCGTCGTCGTCATCGTCGTCGTCGTCGTTGTCGTCGTCCTCGTCCTCGTCCTCGTCCTCGTCCTCGTGTTTTGGTTGGACTCCCCTCCTGAAGACGGGCAACCTCCGCTGGGCCCTCGGCTTGCCGGTCCGTTCACGGGGGGGGCCTGGGGCTGTGGATGCCATGACAATGGACACCCTAACAATCCGATCGTTGTGTTATCGGAGGTTGGGGGGTGAGATCGCAGTGGAACGGGGACCCCAGCCGGAAAATCGTTTCGGTTCGTTCGCGTCGTGCGTGCGGGCAAAGCGAAGCTGCGTGGGCGCGCGAGAGAAATGAACCCGCCGTTGCTTGGGCGAAGTCAAATCAACCTCCGCTGCTAGGGCGAACTTAACACAAATGATTATCCCTCGTCCGTCCGTCCGTCCGGCGGTGGCTGGCGGTGGCTCGCGGTGTCCCGTGGTGTCCGCAACTGCTAGGGCGAAGCCAAGACAAATGATTTTGTCCCGTGGGTCCGTCCGTTCGGCGGTGGCTCGCGGTGTCCCGCGGTGTCCCGTGGTGTCCGCCGCTGCTAGGGCGAAGCCAGGACAAATGATTTTCCCCCGTCCGTCCGTCCGTCCGGTGGTGGCCCGCGGTGTCCCGCAGTGTCCCGTGATGTGCCCGTGGTGTCCCGTTGAATGAAATCGATAGTCTCGAACGCGAAAGATACCCGTACCCGTGCCCAGGCGGGGTGGCAAAGGGCGGGGGGGGGAGCGACGCGCCGCAACCGACGGCAGTTGCACAACTGCAAATGCGACGGCCCATGGAACATTACAAGACGCTGTTTTCTCCGGGCACCCTCTGGCACCGAAAGCACGCGAGTTCCAGTCGGCAGAATGGCCGACCACGCATTGGTCGCTCTCGGGCTGGAGTCGTTCGGAAGTGGGCGCGCCCACGAAGGCGCGCAATCAAGCGTTTGGGGCTCGACGCGCACATGCGTCCTGGGTGTCCTGGGCGGGCGCCGTTGCAATCCCGCGCTCGCCCCTAACGCCAAGGGGCCCCGATCGCCAAACGCGGTCGCCAAGGGCCCAGCTAGGTCCGGGCACGCGTCGGGGGGCACCATCGCCGACGCGCGTTGATGGTGCCCCCGGACACGTGCCCGTACGTAGCCGAGGTTACGTTTGGTCGAAATCGCCTTCGGGCGCACGCGCGGCCCCCGAGGGCGCCCCCGAAAGCGGCCGCAGCGGCCCCAGGGGGAGCGTGGGATTGTAACGACGCTCGCGCGGGCAGGCCCGAAAGCGACAAAGAGGTGGTGCCCGTCCCCAAATGCGACAAGCACCACCACTCCAATGCTGTTCGAAACCCCGCGGACACCCCCGATGCCCCAAGACGTCCCTGACGCAAACCAGGGCATGTCGCTGCGATCGAACGACCAGCCGGTCAGCGCGTCGTTGCGTCCTGACGCGCGAATGCTGAAACGGCGCGCACGAGGCAGGCTGATCGGGCGCACTGGCAAGCGCCCGATCCAGCGGACGGCCTTTTTCACCCATGAGATAGTGAGGTCGATCGTGAGGACGATAGCGAGGGTCGATACTGAGATCGATGCGGTGCCCCGAGGTGTCCCGCGGTGCCCCACGAAGTGAGATCCATGGTCAGATCGATCGTGAGATCGACAAGTGTCCCGTGGTGTCCTGTGGAGTGAGATCGATCGTGAGATCGATAAACCAACGCTCCCGCTACTAATCCCCGCGGGATAAGAAGGTCCGGAGGTCTGGCGGGGATAACCAACGCCTTTCACTGGAAGGTGGTGCTAGTTAAGTGAGCATGATGATGACGATGATAACGATGATGCTGGTGATCCCGGGCGCTCGCGCAGACTGGCCCTGTGGATCTTGGCACAAGACTGGCTCGAGATCTCGAGTCTCGTGGCTACAACTCGCCTGCGCGAAGAGGTCCTTGGCGCTTCTGGCCAAGAAACCTCTCTTGCGCACGGCCTCAAACCACTCGCCCACGCAGGCTCGGCATCCTTCGGGGCCGTCCTTGCGCGGGGGGCTCTTGGCGCAGGCCTGGGAGGCAGCGATTGTCTCCTCGAAGGTGGCGTGCTTCGGCTCCCGCCGAGGGGTCCTTGAAAGGCTTGGACTTGTCCTTGGCCTTGGCCTTGGCCAAGTCGTTGTCGCCGGCCTCCTTGAGCTGGTTGATCCACTCGTTGCCTCGGGCGCGCATCGCGCTGATGCTCGCGGGCGCTTGGCGCCCTTCGCCTCGGATCTCGCGCAAGGCGCGCTCAATCCAGCGACTCGTCCACAGGCCGCAGGGCCAGGCACCGGCCTGGAACATCTCGTTGCTCTTCGCAGGGCAGGTCTCGCCAGGGCCTATGGCGCCGAGCTTGCGGGAGATCCTGGCGGCGCCCTCGGGAGGCCACGCGCGAAACCTGCCCGCAATTTCTGTGGAGGTGGGCCGGCTTTGCTTCGTTCGGCAGCTCCCGAGCGAAGTGAACCCTCCCTCCCCCCTCAGAAATTGCGGTATAGGCGCGCGTTCGCATGTGGCCCTTTAAGCCTGCTTGGCGTTCTCGGACGGCTGCTTGAGGATGTCGCGGCACTCGACCGCGACGCCCCCGCCGATCCTCGAGACCTTGGCGGGCGTTGCTACAAGCGCCCCCCTGCCCAGGGTGCCTCCAGGACTCGCTCCACAACGGAACGAGAAAATGGAGGCACAATGGGGCAGGGGCAACTGCGGCGACCGCCTACCTCGAGGTAGGTGTAGTGCGCGGGCGCCTCGGAGTGCACGCAGAGCAGGACGTGCTCGGCCTTGTCGACTCTCTCGGCCCCGCGCTCCTGCTCCTCGGGCTGCTGGGCTGCGGGCTCGCCCTCGCCCTGGACCTCTCGAGCCCAAGCGACGGCCACCGTGGGCTCGACCGCCAGAGCGGCCCCTGGGGCGCCCGCGCGCCCCTCGATCTTGCCCAGCAGCGCGTGCACCATGCCCAGCTCGAAGGCGCAGCCCCTGACGATCTGCTCGCAGTTCATCATCGCGTACTCCTTGGTCAGCTCGGTGCGGCAAGCCAGTCTGGTCTGGCGCCAATCGCGCTCGTGCGGCGCGGGGAACTTGTAATCCTGCTGGATCGTGACCTGTGGCGCTCGGGATTCAGAGACACTCGTTAGCTTCCGCCTGCTTCCGCTTCGTGTCGCTTCCGCCTGCTTCCGCCAACTTGTCGTAGACTTCCTCCGTTTCCGCCATCGCTTCCGCCGCGTCCGCTACCTCGCGCTTGCTTCGGCCGCCTCAGTCGGAAGAAGGCGGAAGCTAACGAGTGCCTGTGGGCCCCCAAGCCTCGCTGTTCTCGATATGGAAGATCGCCGCGGTCTCCGCCTCGAGGGCGCGCAGGCGGCGCGCGCCTCGGGGCCCCAGACTCGCCAGACGTCCTGCACTCTGCCGCGCCTTCCCTCGGGGCGCCCGCGCGGGCCCCCCTCGCGGGCCGCCGTGCCGTGCCGGGGGGCCCTCCCAAGCCTCGAAGCCTGTTTTCGCCAGGACGTTTCTTGGCGTTCTTCTTGGCGTTCTTCTCCGCTTGGGTCTTGGCCTTGAACTTGTGAGAGATGCTCGTCTTGGCCTCCCGCGGCCTGCCTGTGAGCTTCGCCTTGGCCACGCTTCGGCCCAGGTGCTCGAGCGAGGCCTCGCCGCTAGTCTCGGCCTTCGCGCGCTGCCACTTGCGCGCGTGCTTGCCCAGAAGCTGGCCCGAGGACTTGGGCGCCCACCTGCTCCTGCGTTTGCCTGTTCGCTTTGGCCGTTCTTGAGGGCGCGCGGGGACTGGGCATGCTTGATCCGCTCTTCTGGCGTTCTGAGCACGCCAATCTGCTCGTCGGTGGGCTCGAGGCCCAGTTCTCGGAGCTCCAGGAGGCAGGGGACCCCGCCTTGCTCGTAGCCCCTAGGCAAGTCGCCCCCGTGGAAGCAGTTCCCGTCGAGGACGCCCCGCTCGGGCGCGGGCGGCACGCCTCGGGATGGTTGGGAAATACTCCCCCCCAGACGGACCCCGAGGAACTCGGAGCAGGAAGCGGTTCTGGCACAGCCATCAAACCGGGGCGGTTCGCCCCGCCCGACGAAAACGACGGCTCGACGACTGGGCCGCGCTGCTGGCCTCCCGCATCCTGCTCAAAATCATCAGGATTGACAACTTGACAAGTGGTCCCTGATATTTTGGCGCGGAGTCCACGGCCGAGCGATCTCATCACTGCAGCCGCGCAAAAACTCAGGGACCCCTTAATCCCTGGCAAACAATCGGCCCGAAGCTTTTTGAACTGACCTCCGCAGGTGTGCCCGTAGCACCGCGTGCGCAAATACGAGATGGTGCCATTGGAGCACTCGAGGCCTATCACCCTATGGCCACGCCCCCGGAAACCAGGGCAACCC